GAGTGTGGCCAGTAGGTTGATGGAAGTCATTCTTCCCCTCTACTCTGCACTGGTGAGGCCGCAACTGGAATCCTGCATCCAGTTCTGGGCTCCCCAGTTCAAGAGGGACAGGGAACTACTGGAGAGAGTCCAGCGTAGGACAACAAAGATGATTGAGGGATTGGAGCATCTCCTTTATGAGGAAAGGCTGAGAGAGCTGGGACTCTTTAGCCTGGAGAAGAGAAGGCTGAGGGGAAACCTTATTAATTACAAGCATCTAAATTACATTAATTACAAGTATCTAAAGGGCGGTTTGAGGGAGGATGGAGCTGGACTCTTTTCAGTGGTTCCCAGTGACAGGACGAGGGGCAATGGGCACAAGCTGGAACATGGGAAGTTCCACTCAAATAGGAGGAAGAACTTCTTTTGGGTGAAGGTAACAGAGCCCTGGAACAGGCTGCCCAGGGAGGGTGTGGAGTCCCCTTCTCTGGAGATCTTCAAGACCCGCCTGGATGCCATCCTGAGTGATGTGCTCTGGGCAACCCTGCTTTAGCAGGGAAGTTGGACTAGATAATCTCTAGAGGTCCCTTCCAACTCTGACAATTCCATGATTCTCCTCAGGCTTCTTCCTTTGCTCAAAAGTGGCTGCAATGCAGCGCGGCAGGCAATAGATTGGGCTGAGAAAACCTATTTTGATGCCATGGCAGAAATTCTCTCCTGCTCCCATTGGCAAAGCTCCCTCTGACTCCCATCAAGGGAGGGTCCCAGCCCCAGCACGGTGCTCCGCATCCTCCGAATTGCCAAAGGGGGGCCCGAGGTGGGCTGAAGTAGAGGCACCGGACTGCTGACCACAGCTCTCTGCCCCTCCGGAGCGTGGTGAATAATGCAATATTCACAACCTTGGAAGGAAGCTAAAAATAAATTTACAGGGAAATAATACATTCTTTCTAATCTGAGTCAAACCTAAAAATTAAACAGCTATAATTATCAAACCTAATTTAATTAAAACTAGCTACTCACCATCTGGTGTTATTTGTATAAATTTGGAAATCTACTATTTCATATTAAATTCCTCCATTTAACAAATTATGTTAGAGAATGTATTTCTCCACTATAATCATTATGTAATTGATCATTTTACAAATTATATTTCCTTCTACTTGATAGAAATATATTTTGTATAATAACAGGGCAGATGATCAGCCACTTTTTTCATCAGAACTGGATTTAAAATTAAGACTTGCAACATCAATAAAAAATAATTCACTGAAGTAGAAAAATGTATGATGAGGCAAGATGTTTTATTTCTCAGCTTGGTCATTGAGAGTATAAATGAGAACTGCATGGGATTTTTTCTGCACTTCTAAGTGTATATGCAGATATATAATGCTATATGTATGTCTATTCTGTGTATATGCAGATCCTATAATAGCTAGTGAAGCACAAGAGTTGGGCTTGAAGAACGCTGTGTACTTTCCTGATTCAGTGTGGAAATGTACAGTTGTAGACATTTAAAAATGTATCATCAAAAATATATTTCTCTCTCTCTCCAAAGACACATAATGATCCTTTATACAGCAATATGTAAAACTGATGCTAAAATAATGAGGAGAACATCATGACAAGACTGCAGTTTGATTAACACCAAAATATGAATGTTTGACACAGCTCGCATGGGAGTCATGGGTTTCTCTTCCATAATTTTTTGACATGTAGGTGTTTCTGTAAGAAAGCAGAGCCATGTACAAGTATCATAAAGAAAATATTCCATTGCAACAGGCGCAACTGGGTGTGTTTGCAGAGGGGAATGTGCAGTGGGCATCCAGAGGAGGCTGTGGAATGGAGAGGAATCACAGAAAAGCTTTGAGACAGTGGAATTGGTGCATTTTAGGGGGTAGGCTACTGAAATCAGACTGGGAGACGTGGAGTTGATCCCAACTTGCCTGCTGATCCGCTGTATGAATTCGAGTTAATCTCTCCACGTGTTCCCAAGCGCTGCAGATCGTAAGCACTTCTGGGCAGCGGAGGGTTCTCCAGTTGCACTTGCTCAGCACTTGGGTCAAGAGCCAGGAGCTCTCTCTCGGTGGTGGCCTCCAGGCAGCACTGTAAAAATAAATAACGGCAAAACACAAAAGCCCAAATGCACCGTTCAGATTGGCTGGTAAGAGAAAGGAAAGGAAGCAATGGAAAGAAAGTGGAGGAAAAAAAAAATCCTCCCTAAGTCTTAAAAAAGACATGTTTTTCAAAAATATGTTTCCGCCTACAGTTCTGGCATGCCATCACCTGGGGCTGCAAAAACATGAGTTGGCCCGTTAAGTCACCTATTTGCAATTCCCTAAAAATAAGTGCAGGGAATTCCCTAAAAATGAACGCAGGGACACTGCTAAGCCATCCACAGTGACCGGAGACCTTCCTCGGAGCGAAGAATTCACCGGGAACAGCAGCATTCAGAAACGATAAGGGAAAGAGTGCTCCTGTTTAGCTTGGTTGACACACAGTTATCTTCTACATAGGATTCTTGGCTGGTCTAAGTTTCCAAGCAAGGAAGATGCTCCCAACCCCTCTTTCCCTTGTGCAGCTTTCCCTTGGCTTTTCCCTCGCCAGGTCGGGCTCTGCCCTGCAGCTCCCTGGTTCTACAGGAGCTCTGTCTCACTGACAAACGCCTTGCAAAGCTTCACCCCCTTTTTTCACTCCTTGGTATTTATAGATGAGCAGGCAGCAGCATCCAGCCCGTCACGTTTGGTGCTTTGCTGTTTAACAAGCAAAAAAATCCAGCACGGATGAGTTTTGTTGTTTGGCTGCTGTTGGACTCTGCCAAAACCCCCTGATGCTCTTCAGGCACCAGCTGCTTCACAGCACCAGGGGCCGAGCAGGAAGAGCACCAAGAAGCCCAAAGAGAAGATGCTGAGATGTGAGTGCAACATGACAAACCGCTAGGTTTGGTTAAATCGGGGCTGTTAATTATAGCAGTTTAAATTGGGTTCTGACTCAGATTTTGAATTCATAGTGGCAAGATGACAGCCTGGAGAAGGTGTTTGCAAATGGCTGACTCAGAGGATGATGATCAGCACGACGGTGCCTTCTGCCTCTGCTAGTACTATGTGTTTATAGGAGCGATGTTAGAAGGTGACAGTTGCCAGTTCAGCTCCACCCCTTGATCTGTTCACCGGAGATTGTGCAGCCTGGGGAGACAAAGTGAGCAAATGGAGGAAGGAGCACATTAATTGGGTGAGTACAAACTGGCAACCCGCCATCTCTCTTGGTGCTCTGTACTCTTCTTTCCACATGTGCTGCTGGTTTTCCAGATTTTTCTGTAGGCATCCAGCTGCTTCTGACTTGTGTCAATGAAATGGCTTCTGAGTGAAGAACGAGTATTTCCTAAATCCTCTCTGTGAGCCAGAGCCACAGAATTGCCACCCGATTCTCCAAATTCTGAGGCCATGGATTGGGGAGCCATCAGCCCCTGGTCCCCAGTGGGAGACCCCAGGAGCCCAGTGCCCTTGGTGAGGCTGCAGGAGCCCGGGGCTCCTGGGACCTCTCCAGCAACCAAGGGTGCCGGAGCCTGGGGAGCCCAGCACCTCCCTGCGGGAGCTGCCAAAGGGATGGACACTCTGGGGAAAAGCTGCCCTGATAGGAGGGCTGCAAATCCTGCCTTAATTTCTGACCAAATTCTGCAAAAATTGAACATCATGGGAATACCAGCTGCTGACAGATCTCTGGCATTGTCTCTCCTCTCCCAAAAGTGCTTTTGCTTTTTTTCCACCACTTGTCCTTGAAGTCCTTTCATTCATGCTTTCGTGCAAAATGAAAATGTCCAAGATTTCCTTCCCTGTGTTACTCACGGTATGGATTAGCTCAACTCTTCAAACGGTTGCTGAAATTCATTTGCAAACCTTGTAGGCGACTAAGTTTCGTAACTGTCACTTGTGAGCTACAAAGCAGCGGTCAAAAAAATCTAATACTGCATGAATAATGTAGCCAACTCTTGCTTTGATCTTGGAAATCCTTCTACCTGTGCTCGGCTGAGTGCAGCCCCTGGCCGGCCAGCGGGGGGGAATTTGTTACCGACTGCTGGTGGCTGAGCCAGAAGCCAAGAAGCACATCCACTGACATCACTTATCGCTTGCTCATAGAAATAAGGCATAGCTCCTGAAATTATTGTTTTCAGATCTCTAACTCTGCTCTAATAATCGCTAGAATTGAGAGCCTAATATATTCAATGAATTAGTGTTTCCCTTCCATTGAATAGCTGAGAACAGATTGTGATTCCCCGGTCTATTTGTTATTCAAATGAATTCAACAGATACCTTTTCTAATCTTTAACTCTGTGGATTGAAAGCAAATATCCACCGAACGTAGCTGTTGGTGCTCTGATAAATCATATGCATCGTTTCTGTTTCCTGACAGGAACACTGTGCAAATACCTAGGCTGAAGCCTTGTTTATGCAAACATACAACTGGGTTTTCACAAGAACTCGCATATGTGGCTTTAAACACTGTTTCCTCATGCTTCTGTTCTTATATTGTAGTTACTGAAGGTCCACTTCCCAAACTGTCACAGAAAATGAACACAAAAGGGGTTTCAGTGGGGCCAAAGTGAACTGACATACTTTTTTTAATTTTTTTGTTCCCCATGGAATATCTATGAACAGACTGTGATTGAGGCCCTGATGCAGAAAGGTGATTTACGATAGGCTTAGCTTTAAATGTGCTGCCCAGTGCCCGTTGAATTCAGTGTGACTGCGCAAGCGAAAAATGAACTATGAGCATTGTCTTGGGAAGATCAAGGCCTAAGCTAAGATTATCTGAAAACTTTCTGAATTATTCAGCTCTAATAATCACTGTTTGGACACTACTCCTGAAAGAACTAAGCCTGCCCTCACTGCTCCCCTGTCCTCTGGCCAACCCGAACCATGGAATATTGACACTGTTCCCCTGTGCAAATAAAACAACAAAGATAACAGTGAGCATCCACAAACGTACGCATTCTGTAAGGGAACACACCCGAGAGAGACAAACCCTGGACGCAGGAACGGTCATTGTGGATTTCCTGGAGTTCACCAATGGCATTTTTCCCAACGTAACTTATTTCACCAACAAATTATTCTTATTTTTGTTTCAGAAGAGATTTTATACTCTTTCGGAAGGAAGCATGAACATTTCTCAGGGGGTCCCAGTGGGATTTCACAGACTTTTGACTGCGTGTGGCTGAGGGGAGGAGGACGGGCAGAGGCATACCTATCTGAGATCATGTCATTCCATTTATTCATCCGCAGCAGAATTCCTGCAGGTGACATCGGAGAGCCTGACCGCTGGCAAAGAGAAGAAAATAATCTTCATGTGTTAACTGAATGGTAATTACAATTTCCACAGCAACAACACAGCAATTTCCTGGAAACTATTCCTGTGTCGGGAGGACTCTTCCCGGTGGCTTTTGTCCCATGGCTTTCCAGTCGGGGAGCCCATCCTCACAGCCACACAAACCACACGCTGCTTTTGGGTTTACGTGCCTGCTCTATAGAGAAGCCATGTAGATCCCTTACACAAGCTCAATCCGATTCTCAGTCCCTGCTGTGAAACAGATGTTCTGAAGGTGGGGAGACACCCTCTAGCAAAAGGAAAAAAATCAGGGTGGAGCGTCTTTCCCCAGCTACAAGTTACGCTTAGCCCTATGAGAGATGTTCTAACCAACCTTCATGCCTGGAAGCAAGAAGGTATAGTCACAGTGATTTACAGTTTTTGATGTTCTCCAGTGTAGGGAAGTAGTGTCGGATTTACTAGTCAAGGAGAAGGCTGGGAGAGGAGAGGACAACGCAGAGCCTTAGAATCCCCAGATCAGCTTCCAGTCTGGATGAGCAGCTCTGTTACTGTCTATGGTCATCTTTTTTTTTCTCTTCTGCACACTATCCGTCCAGCTATGATATATCCTGGTGGTGGATTACGGTATATCACCTTTGCCTTTCTCCTTGCTCCCCTGAGCTGGGCATTTGTGGCTACGTTTGCACCACAGAAGACACTCAGAGGATATTAAAACCAAGCTCTTCTTTGGGGAAGCTGCAATCAACATCTCCAAACTCCAAACCAAAATGCTGCCAGCACACTCTGTAATCTGACCAGTCCTGGGGATGGCTCCCTGTGTCTATCACAAGCCGGGCTGCTCCCACCCAAACCCTTATTGTGGTGAAAAAGGGTGAACTTGAGAGAAACCATTTTGTGACCCCTGACTGGGGTGAGGTGGTGCAGTGGATGGAGGAGGCTGGGTGGCTCCGGGAGCTGAATGCTGCTCTGGAGAATACAAAGAGAACAGGTAAGCAGAAGGCAAATACTGAAAAAAAAAAATAAATATATATATATATAAAAATAGGCAGGTGGGTAGGAGGCAAATGGGGAGGGAGTGGTGAGAAGGGCTGGCAGGTGCTGGGGATGGTGTGAAGATGCTGGAGGGCACATGCTCAGCTCTTTGTGCTCATTGCACCTTCTCAGGGCCCACGGCCTGCAGCAAGGCAGCCATAAAAGCGGGCATTGTTTCAAAGCACTTACCCAGTCATGCTTAAAGGGTTTGTACATGTTTGTTAGAGGTTGGAAGCAAAAATGTGAGTAAAAACATAAGGCAAGCCCTCGGGGTAGATGTACTTTGTGACACAGCGTAATCTGGTCCCTCTGCTTACCAGCTTTGCACCTGGTTAATTCTAGGTCAGAATGAAGCTGTATAGTCAGAAATTATTATTCGTGACCCCGGACAAGAACGTAACCTTTCTATCTTTAGGCTCCATTGAAATGGCAATACCCTGATTATGGAATATTTTTCCGCTAATTAGGAATGCAGGCTCTACAGGTCACTGGGAGTTCATATTATTCCCTTGGCGTAAGCAGATGTCTTCAAGATAAACCTGTACTAAACACATCAACAGCTCTGCGCTATCTTGCATGCACTAGAAAAAAAAATTCAAAAGAAAAGGAAAGGAAAGGAGAGACAGCAGCTTGCCAAAGACTGAAGAGCCAGATGACTCCAGAAGCTAGACGTTAATTTATGAACGTTAGGTAAATGATTGCCTTTCAGGTATTGGCTCCTGGGCTCTACAGCACATGGCTACCAATCTGTAAGCAGGCTTTACTGGTGAGGTACAAATCTGAGGCAAGGAAGATGTGCTGCACAGCCTGTAAGTCCTGCGGGGCTCTGCTGGCTTCAGGCAGGGCAGACGTGGGCATGGAGGAGGTGAGGAGCAGAGCACCTGGGTAACCATCATCACAAGAACCTGTGCAAACTTGCCACAACATCATATTTGCTCCTGTTTCTTCCTGCCCTCTCTTTTGCTCCTTTTTCTTGACTTTATTTACCCACCCCCATCAGTCTTCCTGTTTGCCTTCTAGCTGCTACCCAAATTCTCCACTACCCTTTACATCTACTTCAGCTTTCTTTGCCCACCTTAAGCAAACCCTCACATCTTCACTAAACTTTATTCCTTCCTGCTCTGCCCTTCTTCTGATATATTTTCCCATTTCTCAGTCAGAGGTATGCCTTATTCCAGTTGCAGTTTCCCCAGGTTCTTCTTCTACTCTTTGTTCTTGCTATAGTTTTCTATTCTATAGCAAAGGTCTCCCTCCCAAAGGCGGTCATGTTTCCTGGTGAGCCCCCTCTGCCTTCCCATCCATCTTCTCTGTACCAGCTGCTGGGGTTCAGCTGGCGAGCACCATGCACTCCTTGCAGCCCATGACCTTCCCCAGATACTTGCTCATGGGAGGAGAGAGTTGCTGGCTTCGTGGTGCCAGCGGAGAAGCAGGGTGACGGGCTCCACAACTCTGAACAGCTGTGATGGCTGTACCAGTGCAGAATTATGCCCTTATTTACCCAACAAATGGCAAGGTGTTTATTTTGTTGGCCAGACGGGAGAGCTGAAGCGTTTGCATCCTCATGACTTATAAATCTTCATGTGACAGGTCACGGTGGTGAAGGCATCTGCCATGCTTTGCTCTTTGGGAAGCAACTGGCTGAGTTTCAACTGAGATTTAAACTGCTGTTTAACATGAAGATAGCCTGTCTCAGGGCTGGCAATTTTCTGGAAGGATGATATACTGCCTAGCTGCATCTAGCCTGCACAATAACACTATAACCATACCCTTCATATGCTTTTATCCCACAGGATACTAAAGCATTTGCCGTTGATACAGGTGAAGGACAGCGTCAGCTATCCTTCAGGTGCTGAGCTGGGATTTTGTCCGCACTGCCACACAGCCTTTTTCACATGAAAAGAAGTGATAAATATCAGCTTTTCATGTGTCTCTACCCAGAGATTCATGAGTGAATCCTTCCCAGGCATGGGCAAGTCCTAGATTCACAGGAGGCTACTTCAGAAGCCCGCAAAGGGTGAGGTATCTACCCAAAGTCAGTGTATGGTGGGCACTGTGCCTGTGAAGTGAGAAGAGAATTGCCAAAATGCTGGAATTAACATTCTGCTTGAGTCATAAAGAAGCCAGGGCTGTACCTTTGTGTGCCATAGGAATGCTAAGGCTCCTGGTGGGGCCAGGGGAGCCAGCAGCAGAGGGGAGGGGGCTGCAAGGAGCCACACGCTGGTGCTGGAGTTGGGCTCAAGCAGGTTTGTATGGGCTGATCACCCCAGGATGGACACACACACTGCCCTTTCCCTTTCCTGTGCAGAAAAGCAGGCTCTGTGCCTCTTCCTGAGCCCAGCAGAAACATCTGCACACAGCTGGTGGGCAGATTGGAGGGGAAGCCAAGGACTCGCTGGGGTACCTGTATTTTCCTTTTTATTAGCAGAAGCATCATCTCCAGTTCCTCCTTTATCACCTTGATTTCTTAGTACTGTTGCTTGCATGAATGATAACCTTGTACTACCAAGCAGTACTGAGGTAGTGCTGTAAATAGGGGCATTTTCAACCAAGCGCTTTTTCTGCCTTTAATAGGGCAGTTTATATATTGTTCAAAACAGGAAGGAAAAAAACAAGGCAGGAAACCTATTTCTCAGTGGCGCCTGTGATGTCTGTCAGAAATGTGCGTGTTACTGCAGGGGAAACATCTTCTCATCTGCCATGTAAAAGAAATTAAGAGATAACATCCGCTGAGAAATATGACCCAGGCACTGAACAGGTCTTGTTCCATATGCTCAGATATTTACAGGATACCATGTAGTGGCAGAGCTTTCCCCAGCTGTTATATCTATATACACTACCTTTTTAAACATAAACAAATATCTTTCCACCGAAGCCACTATGCTTCTCCTTATCTGATGTTAACAATGATACAGATATTTTGGCTGGTGGAGTCATTCAGGTGGAGAGGGACCTCAGGAGGTGGGAAGGGACCCCAGGACATGTCGTCATGGCCTCCTCACAGGTGGTAGGTACCCACAAAGTGGCCTCTTCTCCAGGCTGAACAAGCCCAGCTCTCTCAGCACCTCCTTGTGGGGCAAGTGCCCTCAACCATCTTGCTGGCCCCTGCTGAATTTGTTCCTATTTACCAGTGCCTTTCCTGTGTGTCAGGAAGCTCAAGACTGGAAGCCATATCCCATGTGGTCTAATGAGTAAAAGGGGATAACCCCTAGCTTGGGTCAACTGCCACCCCCACCGCGGGGAGTCACCCACCACCAGCACCTCCACCACATGGAACTGTATCTCCAGGCAGTTAGATAGTGATGTCCCAGTGATTTGCTTGTTCCAGTTGGGCCTTCGATGGATTCCCACTTCTTGAGGCCTCTGTGTATTTTGGGGGAATACACAAATGTGTTTTTTTTTCCAGTGTCACGTCGGTATTTTAAAGGCTGATGTCACCGCCACCTCTTCTTCTAACACAAAGGAAAACAGCCTATAAAATTTCCCTCCTTTTCTCCTCGGTTCTTAAATAGCCTCTGGTATCACAGTACTAGAGTAGATTACAATATTTAATATCATTTACCTTTCATAGTGGTCCTGTGAGACAGGAAACTAGTTTCATTTGGAATGTGTGAATATGTAAATGAGGTGCAGAGGAACTGATAGGCTTGCCCACAGAAAGGTTGGCACAGAATAGAAGCCTGAACCCGTACCTGCTCCACGAACGCTCTCTGTGTTCTGGCTATTTGTTCCTTCCTGCTTCTGTTTCGGTGTCCTGGTGCGTTGGGGGGTGAGCTGACCTGTGTCACCACACTCTGCTGAGATGTGCTGCAAGATGCAGTGTGATCCCACACACCTATGGAAGTGGGAAAAGGCTCGGGCTGTTCCATCAGCTCATCAAAACTGGGCGCCCCAAGGGATGCTGAACTTTGGCATCTTTTTTTTTTTCTTCTTACGCTGCCTCAAAAATGAGCCGATTTCTCATGGTAGAACATGACAAGGCAAAGCATTGCAGTAAGTTAATTCTTCAAGTGTGGAAACAAGGAATAGCAGTGGAATAAACACAGAATCACAGAATCACAGAATCTTCTAGGTTGGAAGGGACCTTAAAGATCATCTTGTCCAACCGTCAACCTGACTGACAACAATAGACACCCTCACAACAAACAAGGAGCATCATCACTAAACCATACCTCCCAGCACTACATCAACCCGTCTTTTGAACACCTCCAGGGATGGTGCCTCAACCACCTCCCTTGACAGACCATTCCAATGTCTGATAACCCTTTCAGTGAAAAAATTTTTCCTAATATCCAGCCTGAACCTACCCTGGTGTAACTTGAGGCCATTTCCTCTTGTCCTGTCGCCTGTGACTTGGGAGAAGAGACTGACCCCCACCTCTCTACACCCTCCTTTCAGGTAGTTGTAGAGAGCAATAAGGTCTCCCCTCAGCCTCCTCTTCTCCACCATCTTCATTGTATCTGTTCAGCTTTCTGGTTTGGTTTGGGTATCAAACCTTCTCTGCCCCTCTTTGGCTCATGGAATCACAGAAACTTCATGGTTGGAAGGGACCTTTGAGATCATCGAGTCCAACCATGCACATATATAAAAAAACTAAAAAACCCAACCCAACAATTTCGTTTCAGTGTGTGGGTCTCATCAGCCTCCACTCACCATTTCATCGGAAAAAATGGAGTATGAGAGGTCCTCAGAAGCCCCGGAGGGAAGTGAGACAATCCCAGATGTTGTAGGATCTATGTCCCAGCTGCAGCGAACCCGCACGTGGCGGCTGCTTTAGCGCAGCCGTGGACAATAGCAGCTGGAGGGGCTCTGCTGTTAATGGCTCATCCCCCGGGAAGGAACTAGTGTGAGGAAAAGCAGCCGGCATTACGTACAAGATGCCACACCGTCACGCTTTGCTCTTCCTTTTGTTATAAAACAAGCAAGAAAGCAGCGAGAAAAAAAAGCAGAATTCGCCAAGTTCCCTCGCACCGCCCCCTGCCCTAGAAGTGCCATGAGATGTTGCCCTCCCAAATTATGCTCTTCCCTTTCTGATTGAGTCTGTAGGAGATCAAGCTATTTGCTATTGTTTGACCTATTATAAATATCCTTCTTAACGCGGTGAAAAAAAGAAAGCTGACCTATGAGCAAAATAAAAATGAAAAAAGAATCATGAGCTCTGGAGCCTGTCCTCTGACTGCATATTCCTAGTGGGTATTTTTCTCATCACCTGAGAAAAAGACACACATTAGGAGAAATAAAACAAAATAGAGCTTTATATCCTCACTAAAGAAAAAGCAGTTTCTACGTTCACTGTCGCTGTGTTTTGATATATGTTTAGTTGTATTATGTCCTAGGATCATCCAATTTCCATATAAAGTGTAGCTACTTCCAGTTTTACTATGTAGTGTTCAGGGGAGATTTTGATTTGTGTGCCCTAGGGTACAGCTGAGAAACGTATAATTTTCTTTAAGTCCCTTCTGTCATGCACCATCAGTAAATTCCTGTACAGATTACAACATGGATGTTTAGTCAGAGGTCTGCACTCCCACGGAGGAGAGTGGGAGGGAATAATAAATGTGTGGACCAAAGTGGAAAAAAAAAAAAATGCTAAAAGAAAAGAGAGGAAGAGAGAGAAAAATTCCATTAAGAAAGGTTACTGAATCAAAAAGAATTTATCAAAAGTAGACTGGTGAGAGTGGCTCTTGAATTTTTATGAATTTGTGGGGCACACAAGTCAGTCTGCTTTGGACTGTAATTTCAGGTAATAGCAGAATTGGGACCACTGGGACGTACTGGCGCACTCTGTCACTATTTCTAATCTCCATTGCTCTGGAACACCAGTTACGCATCAATTCAATTAATCACCTGTGATAACAAAAGTTCTTTTTTTTCCACTTTAGAAATGTTGCTTTTTTTTTTTTAATTTTTTTTGGGCTGAACTTTATCAGACACAATTTCTTTTTTTCCCTCGCGAAGAAAATCTTATGAAGTTCATTTATACAGAGAGCATAAATCCTATCTCCTACTGTTTTCCCCTGTAACCTAACAAGAAATATGGCTTATAGCTCCACTAATTCTCAACATTTAGTGCGGACTGATGAAAGCAGTTCATCACTTAGAGGGATACACCACGCTCAGAGCAGCACATATGGACCACGCGTGTCAGACCAGGGAAGGCACACGCAGCAGCAGTGTGGCATGACACACACACAGTCTCAGATACACCACGGCACCCAGGTGTCTTAAAACCGCTCGTTAGGGATACACAGCATTAAAAAATGAGTACCTCCCATTGTACAGCAAAAAACCTCTCTCTTTCTTGTCACTCTCCCCCCTCCACAGATTTATCTCCTTCTGTTAATGACTCCCTTTTTTCAATTTGTGTCTCTCTCTGGCAGATAATACTTTGTCTCCCTGTTCTCCCGGCTTGGTGTGCCTCTCGCCTTGTTTGCTGCTCATTATTTGCACTCCGCCAGGATGTTGATACAAGAACTTGCCCATAATCAGTTCAATAATTCCACTTCAAATCCAGCCGTTCTGCTGCCACATATAATCCTGACAACTCATTATCCACCAGCCCGGCTAGGTCTGGCTCTTGCATATTAGCTGTGCTGCAACCTCAGCCTCCTTCCCCTGCCTCTTACAATTTAATTCACTATTAAACTCCCCTTGCTGGGTTGTATCCTCAGTTGCATCATTGCTCTGGGAAGGAGAGGAGCGCAGCAGAGACGCCAGACTCTTCCCAGCTCCCCGAATGCCACCTTTCCTGGTGGGAACACAAGGAAGTGTATTTTCAGCTTGTGACATATAAATGATTGGAGCTGACATTTAAAACATCTCCCAGCTGAAGCCTTGAAGAAAACATTTACCAGCCTGTGAGGCAGGCAGGTGTGATCATCCCTGTAGAACAAAAGGGTAAACTGAGGCACGGGCTGAGGACACATCTGGAGTACTGTGTCCAGTTCTGCCCCCTCCCACTTCAAGGACAGGGAACTACTGGAGAGAGTCCAGTGGAGGCTACAAAGATGATGAAGGGAATGGAGCACCTCTCTTATGAGGAAAAGGCTGAAAGACCTGGGGCTGTTTAGCCTGGAGAAGAGAAGATTGAGAGGGGACTTCATCAATGCTTATAAATATCTAAAGGGTGGATGTCAAGAGGATGGGGTAAGGGTCTTCTCAGTGGTGCCCAGTGACAGGACAAGGGGCAACGGGCACAAGCTGGAACACAAGAAATTCCACCTGAACATGAGGAAAAAATTCTTTCCTTTGAGGGTGATGGAGCCCTGGAACAGGATGCCCAGAGAGGTGATGGAGTCTCCTTCTCTGGAGATACCAAAACCCCATGTTTTTGGATGCGTTTTGGATGGTTCATGTGCAACCTGCTCTGGGTGACCTTGCTTTGGTAGAAGGGTTGGACTAGATGACCTCTGAAGGTGCCTTCCACCCCCTACTTTTCTGTGATTCTGTGACACAGAAGTCAGCCCTGGGCCTGACACCATCATTTGCAGCCCCAAGACCAGGTGGCAGTGGGGTGAGACACACCTCGGTTGGGACCCAGGTGCACCACCACCCACGCCGCAGTCCTGGGAGCCAGGCAATGGGTCTAGCCTCTTGTCCTCTCTCCTTCAGTCAGGAAAGAACCAGTCTATTTCTAGTCATGCAGACCTTATATGTAACTAAACACAGTGTATCTTCTTGTGCATTAAGAGGACAAGGAAGATTTCACAGCCTGGTTGCTCTCAGATGGTCTGTGTGAGACTCAAGCACGCGCTTGGAGCCGAGCATTCACGTATAGCTCAGAAGATGAATCAGGGTTTTGGCTCTAGCTCCTCTTTAGAGACAGCAGTCCTAGCGATGACCAGAGTGGTGGCTCTTACATCAGCTCCTCCGAGCGAGAAATGTCTCTGACTCAGTGTTTGTGCCAGGCCATATAGCACCACCTGGCTCAGGCACTCAGCTACTGTCACGACACAAATCATGACAAGAGGCAGTGTACTCGCAAGTATCTTTGAACACTCACTAGAGTAATTGGGAAAATCAGCTGCCACCACCCTGAGATGGCTGTGAAGGTCACCACCAGGTGTTGTCTACTATAAACCTTCAGTGCACAGCAAACTGCTGCCTTTTGTAGCACCGATCTATGTGTCCCCTCCACAACAGGCATTCACTGTCCTGCCCTGCAGAAAGGATGTCCCGTTTGACCAGCACCATTCATAGAATCACAGAGTGGTTCGGGTTGGAAGGGACCTTCAAGATCATCAGTGTCCAGCCCCCCTGCCATGGGCAGGGACACCTCCCACCAGACCAGGTTGCTCAAAGCCCCATCCAGCCTGGTCTTGAACACCTCCAGAGATGGTGATTCCACAGCTTCTCTGGGCAACCTGTTCCAGTGTCTCACCACCCTCACAGTGAAGAATTTCTTCCTGATACGTAATCAAAATCTCCCCTCCTTCAGTTTAAGACCATTACCTCTCCTCCTCTTGCTCTACTCCTGATAAAGAGTCGTCCCCCCCATCTCTCCTGTAGCCCCCATTAGGTACTGGAAGGCTGCAGAAAGAAAGCAGAGGGAGGGCTTAGACCCCCATTTCCAGTGCGTCACTGATAAGCAACCCCTGCAACAGCCCCCAGGATGACACTAAACATCTAAACACTTCTGGACATGTCAGCTCTGTGCAATCCCGGGCAAAGTCAGGACAAGAGCCAGACGTGCTCCAACCTGTCCTTCAGCACAGCCAGGCTGCAGCTTATGTCTGGAAAGGTGGGAAACAGCTACCATGCCAGTAAAGCTGTAACCTCTGGTGGGACACAAGTCCCATCATGAACTGAACATATATAATTACCACGATCTTTTCTAAAAGGGCCCTGCAGCCCTTAAATGGACTTAAATTAGTCCATTTAAGCACAAGCTGCAGTTATCCCACCGCAGAGATGTCACTACACCAACATTTACCATTCTGCAAGTATCTCTTTGTGGCTCCCAGAGCTCTTTCAGCGCTGACAGTCCGTACCACGTAGGGTTCAGCTCGTGCTCTGCAGAACCTGCAAGTGTCTGCTCCAGAGGATGTCCCAGGCAGATGGGTCCTAGGGGAAGAACAGAGGTGATATTTGCTCTGCAGCTCTTATTTATAAGGGCCTTTAAGAGTGAACTAATGCACTGGTGAGTGAAACCATTGAGGCAGGCAAGCCAAGGCAGCACTGTCTCTTCTTGGCTATGTCCCTGCTGGGGACAGCACTGCCTGTTTGGGGATGACACTGTTCACTTTGGGAGAGTGGAGGGTAGTTGTATCTGGGGGGGCTGAGGGCAGGACAGGGCTGTTCGCACCTTTTTTATACCTTGAAAACTTGTTTGTTGGGTGATTTTGGCTGGATTTGCTGCAAATGCTTAAATCAGAGAAGACCTGTTGTCATGTTGACCCGTTCACGTGTTCCCTGCTGGTATGGTGCTGCCAGGTTGAAGAAACCTTCTCAGGTCTTTTGCAGTGATTCTGTTCCAGCTGATGCCCCTAAGATGCTCCTGAGGGCACAACAAAACTGATAGCTTGAACAATTGGGCAAGGGTGTGTGCACACCCAAAATACTCTCGGAGAACAGTAATGTGTCTCCATGCTTTGCTGCTTCTTTTCTCTCTTAACCTTTTTTGCACCTTGAGGTTTTTATTCTATGCCTTTCTAAGCACACACACCAAGCTGACTGCAGTTCTCTCCATGCTTCCCTCAAATTCATAAGCCGTGTTTTCCTGGGTCTCTCCTGTGGTTGCTCTTGCATGACCCTTACAGAAAATTTATGTGACAAGAAAGGAAAAAGCCTTTACACCTTAAAAGAGCAAGGCTACTCTCGGCAAAGGGCAGCAATTCAGAAGGTCTTGGGTAGCCAGTGGCCAACTTCACATGAAAACCAAAGTGGGCTGTGAAGCAAAAAGAGAGAGCAGTGGTGGCCGTGCATCGGGCAAGCTGAGAGCATCTCCCTGTGAGTGACCATCGCCGCTCCCTGGTGCAGCCTCTCCTCCTCTCCCTTGGGACCCATGCTTTGTCCCACCCTCCACTTCTTCTGGTGGTGGTGGTGGTGGAGCCTGGCTGTGTACCCACGGTGGAGTGTCCCCACCATTCTGTGGTTAGGGACCTACGGGCACTATGCAAACCCAAGGCTGACCAGACCCACCTCTCACAACCAGAAGCTCTTTCAACATTTCTTATTTTATCAAGCCAGGGAAGGATTTTTTTTTTATGGAAGGATCAGGGTAATGTTGATGGACTCTCCTTCCCGTCCCTTCCCATATTCAATCTGCTGCATCTGTTGGTGAAGTCCCTGTTTGTCTCCTCTTTCCTACCTGTGTGAAAGTGGCTTTCGCTGACCCATACATTGGATTGCATTATGCACTTCTTATCTCCGTGTCTCCCATCTCTTAACATTGCTTCCCCACCTCTGCCTTCCCCTCATTCCATCCCCACCTAAGGGCTCAGCTCCCCTGGTGCCTCACAGAGGCTTAGTGTTTCTTAATATATATAAGAGAGGCCTGCAGGAAGGAATGGGAGAAATATTAGTACAGAGATGACCCAACACTTGGGGACAGTAATTAATAATCTAGGAGCTACTTCAATGACCTGGATGAATTAGAAGAGGTGTCAGAAAGGAATGAAATGTAGCACAGCACAGTTAGGAGAATTGCAAATGGAAATACAAAACAGGGTATCCACGACTGGAGAAGAGCAGTGCAGGGAAAGGACCTGGGGTAATCACTCATGAAGAAATAAGGATGAGTAGTTAATGAAAAGCCATAATTAAGAAAAGGCAAATACAGCCTTGGGATGTACGAGAGGGAAAATAATATGAAAAATATTACCCAGAGTGTTTTGCCACAGCAGCTACCATCAGCCAAGATGCAGCTATCAGCAGCGTTGGGTTTGTGCCTCTGGAAGGTGAGGGCAGGAATCCACGGCTGAGAAGCTGTAGTCGAGAGCTCCTTTCCATCCCTGGGCCAGCAAAGCCTCTGTTTGTTAACTTCCACACACACTGCAAGGTCAGTCAATTTTCAGGTAGTTTCAGGGGCTGAAAGAGCAGGGAGAGATTAAACCTTCTTTCTGGATCAGGCGGGAGTTTTCACATCTTTCTATTTCATGTCCATGTTTGTAATCTCTTGCTAGTAACACAGAAGGGTGAGTCCTAAAGCTATAGCAAACATGTGCAGGGACAAGGAGTTTATTTCCTGCTTACAGCAATCTCTTGTACACACCGTAGAAATTATGCACGATGGTGGGCAATGCCAAAGGAGATGTGACGTTGCTGAAATGTGGGTGGGAGTCAGCTGAGCTGCAGCCGGGCAGCACCCAGCATCTGGCTAAAACCACGTGGTGAACTCCTCTGATTTTCACCAAGTTGCTGCATCCGAGGGCTCCCATACTGTGCGACCAGTAGGTTGAGGAGGAACAGGAGGAGAGCTGGCAGCAGGCAGGTTGTCAAGCTTCTGAAGGTAGTGGATACCAGGAGAAAATATGAGACTCAAAAGCGGGATGTCCAAAGCCCATAGCAGGCTCATTGCAGTTGCTTGTCTGTCTCAGTTCTTTTAGAAATCCTCTCCACCTACAAGAGGAGTTACCCACTTGGGTTATTCAAGCCACTGCTCTGAGGACAGCGGGTGACTTGCCCACAGTGTGCATAAAAAGGTGACACAAAGACAAGACAGATGCTAAACAAAAAAATAGTCGATTTTATCATTAAATACAAATGACTTGAACTGAAGTAAAAGCAGTATGTGTAATGGAGAATGGGTAGCTGGCAGCAAGGGCACTGGCCGGGTCCCAAACACGAATGGACAAGGTAATCTAAGAATGCAACAGAAATGGAAGTGCCAGCAAGAGCAACGAATGGAGCAGGAGCCTGCCGTCGTTCATAATAATGTCAATGGAAAACTCTTGTTGCTGTCAGACCCAGTTTCATTTATGCATACCATTATTTTCCACTGTGGTGAAAGGATGAGCCCTCTCAGCCCTGTTCCCTGGGGACACTAAGCAGGTCTGACTGTGACTTTACCACCTGTCCACCACTTGCGCCTAAACTGGGGGTGCACTGGGTCACAGTGATGGAGAGGAAGGAGAGGAAGGGCAAGGGTTCCTCTGGCTGCATTGCAGGGAGGCTGATTTTGCTTGCTCTCTTCCTTCCCTCTGTGGTTGCCAGGTCAGGGGACCATCAGGATAAGAACTGAAATGAGGAGAAAAATAGTAAGTCCTCAGGAGAAGGTGAAAACGATGAGGGAGACAAAGTGACTATTTCCCTACCCAACATCCTTAATCCTATAGATTAAGAAGCTATTTTAAAAGTCAATATCCCCCCTGTTTCCCCACCCGCCTGTCTGCAGTGAGCTCTTGCCTGAGTTCTTTCAAGTCCCTAAGTGAAGGGCAGGGAATAGGGGTTGTCTTACCTCAGGAAAAACATCCATGCTGATCACTGTCTGGCCTAGCCTTTGAAGTTATGAAACTTGAGTATTTAAGTACCACCACAGTAAAACTGGACATGTTGGGCCCCGTGTCCATTTTAATGGCTTGGTAATTTGCTTTGCCTGCAGCTGTGGAGAAGCCAAAAAAACAGAAATCTTTCTACAACAAAATCTTGCTGCTAATGGGCAGGAGGTGAGTCCTATCCTTGCTGTCACAGGTGGGCTACAGTAGCTGATATTGCTGCCACAGTGGTGGTTTTTTGCCCTTTGGATGTAATAAGTCCCTACCCCCTCTGATACGCAGGAGGGAAAGCTCAAGCAAATGTTTTCCATCTGCAAAGCAAATGTGATTCATTATTAATACAGCCCTGTTAAGAGCACGTTGCACTTCAGAGACATTAACTGATTGAAATCCCTGACCTAAGGGGATTTCTTTCTGTGTTTAAGCATCACAGGACAGGTAAGCATTACAAACAAAGGAAGGGTTGGATTGAAGAGGTGGAAGGGCTACAAAAAATAGTATTATCTGCTAGTGTGGTTATGCACAAATCTTACACGTGCTGCAACATCGCCGACACCAATAACTCCATAAGGTTCAGGAAAGAATTTAGTATTTTACTGTTGTGAATAAGTTTGAGTGGTTTCTGATGAGCTTGTCTGACCCTAAAACCTTACTGAACCCACTGGAGAGAGCAACAGCTTTCTATGAGGGCTAAAAGAGATGGTGATTACATACCCCTTTACTCAGTGGTAGCTGACTGAAGAGACACCCCAAATTATGGGCTAATGTGATGGTCAGGGTACATAGTGTGGAGGTCTTAGTGCAAGTGTTTGGTGGCATATTCTGGGGTTGTGAGTCAGAGACAGATGACAGGAAGCTGGAGCCTGAAAACAAGTGGAGCAAACGTAGCATGGCCCTCAGGAGAAGGCTACGAGACAGACAACCTCTTTGGGCAGCATTCTGGTTGAAAAAAGAGGTTTCAAATTTTGGGCAAGGAAAATGCTTCCTGTGTTCGTGGCACCTAAATAAAAAGCGTTACTTCAGAGAAATATCTGATCACACGCCAATAAAAGGCAAGGCGAGGCAGATCATCTGCAGCAAACAGAAGTACGGAGGTTGCAGGAATTAATCAAGGGGATATCCATCTAGCAAGGTAATAAAGTTTGTCTGAAGTTATCGCCACACTACAGCCTCACCTAGGGCTCTTAATCATGCTTTAGTCCCAGATTCCCTATTAATCTGTGTATAAAATCCTTAGAAATGTGATTTGAGCTCTTAGGTTCTCCACAGCCGAAGATACAGCTTAAAGCTGTTGGGCTGCCTCAACCAACTGATTTTGAAGTGGGGAAACATCTCCTGTCCATACCGCAGAATTTGTGCAGTGATGGGTAGGGAAAAGGAGGTAGCATCGACTGTGACTCACCTGGGCTGTCTTAAATCCCCACTTCGGGATGCATGAATCAGCTTCTGTAAGGGCTTGTTCCTTTCTCCTCTTCATACCGAGACCCGTGGGTGCTCAGCTCCTGTATGCAACTGATCTTTGCTAACACACAGACCTTGGTCAGGTGAGACAAATCCCCCTGGAGCTTGGTTGTCAGGGGCTGGGAGGCCTTTGTGAGTCTGCTGGAGAGGATGCAACGTGCAGGAGTGCCCTCTCCTTCTCACCCCGTCCTGTACATTTTCTGCTCTCTGCCTTTCTATTCTTCTGAGACGTACACGGGCACATTTTGTTTTCATAAGCACAAACCGCTTTTATTCCACTTTTATTTATGGGAATCTGGATGGAATTGCACTAGATAAATGTGGTCTTAATCGCCCTCACAGGCTGTACAAATGCTTATTCTTTGCTTGTTTTGTTTCATTTTGGTGGTGGTGGTGGGGTTTCTTCCATGCAGCTATATTAAGGAGAAATATTAAGCCGACACAATGTATGCAAACACGTTTTGCTGTTTGAGCAAGAGGAATCAGTTGGGTGACATACTGTAATTCATCAGAAGGTCTGACATTGCATTATGAAAGGATACTTTTCTGTATTTTGAAAAATCTTTTTCCCAACAAGCATTCAA